TTCATAAAGTATTTTTGTGCATTTTTAAACTTTTGCTTTCAAAAACAAGTTTTCTAGTTTTCACTTTTCTGAGGTAGAGCTGGAAATAACATTCTTAGGACTGCCAGATACACAAGTATGAGTATAAAATCTCGAGAGTTCAAACAAGAAAATAATATTAGCTCCAAACCGGAACAATCCCAAGTCCACAATTCAGTTATAAACTTTGACATTCATTCAAGGTTTTCAATCAAATATTCTAGAACCCATCATTATTGCATTTTATAAGGCTTCTATTTAAGTATAATGTAATATTTTGTTTTTACATTTTGTTTGTTTATTTTATTATTATTACAGAGGAACATAGGAAAGCAAAAGAAATAAATTCGTTTCGTTTAATTTTCTCTGTAGATATGTTGTTAGTACGTGAATTTTTTCTCTCCGCTGGGATTATGCCTTTGTTTGATGTTTGGATGGCAGCGATTGCATATCTCAGTGCTTCTCTTTCATGCTCTGCCATTGTTGATCTACTCACCAATGCGGTCCAGCTTTGCCTGAGCCTTCTGTTTACCTCTAACTGTTTGCAGCTCTAAACCATTCCAAGGTTCATCTCTAGGTTTGTCTCACGTTCAGTCTCTAAGTACACAAGCAGCTATGTCCTTCCTCGTCTTTGAGAAGATGTCACAAGCAGCGCATGCAGATTAGACGCGACGTTCTGGTCCGTTGGGCATTCGAGTGCTTCAGGTTGTCGGAGCTTAGTCTGTTTTGTTTGGGAATTGAAAATTACCTGCCCCTATACTTGTAGTTGTGTGTGTGAGCGCCTCCGTGCGTTGGTCGGTGTGGTTGGTTGGGTGCGTGCCTCGATTTGTGGTTGGATATGGTTGGCTGACTCTGTTTATTCTCGCGCTTGATTTATATGCAGCCCACGGTTTGTGGTCGCGGTCGAAAACTAAAAATTGTTTGGTTTGTTTTTCACTGTTTGTTTACTGTTAAAGAGGCGCATAATATTTTGGGCTTGTGGGGTGGGATGTCGTCAGCAACCTGTGGCAATCGGTGGTGAATGGCAAATCGGTTTTGTATTAAAATTCAAATTAAGCAACGACTTTTCGGGGCTGCTTTCAACTTTTAAACATAAACAACAAATTTATGCTCGTACATCTCAGCATTGGAATACTATTCATTCCACCTTCATTAAAAAATAAAGAGTCGAACCAAAGGCCAATTTTAAATACGATTAAGTGAACATTTATAATTGCATACGATGATGAGAACAATAAAGAAAACAAACAATTGCTTTAATTTACTTTCTAGCATGCTATAATTAAAAATCTATCTATATGTACACTCTGTTTCAAACTATGTTAATTTTTGTGAACAGTGACTAAGTTTTATAAAATTTCTCATTTTATATTAATACTTGAGATTCTCTTGTAATGTCAAAATTTCTCATTTGATCCTTTTAAAATAATGTTTGCAAAAAATATATGCATTCGTATATTGCGGTATAGACGGGAAAAGCTGCAAAAAAAACTTCGCTCTAACCACAAAATTGTCATTAAAGGGGAAGTCTTAAGAAAGAGTTTCATTCCTACCATTACTTTCAATACTCTAGGTACTTTAATTATCTTTAGCGTAGATATAACTCTCATTTACGAGCTTGAATTAATATTCTTCAATATTTCAAATCATCTTCTTTTTACTAAGATTCAAAATACAACCCTCAATTAAATTCTAAATATTCTTTTTAATGTTTCCATTACCATGCCACTCATTATTAAATCATTCTTTTCATTTTTTTTGCAATTTTATGCTCATACCCCATCATAATTGAGGGAAAAATTCTGCTTTCTTTGCAATGCCTTCCCAAAGACCTTTCACAAACTTGTCGGTTGCTGCCCCGACCTCTCAACTCATTAACCGTCAGTGCCATCGAAATGTCATAAAGCGAAAATCAATAGCCACATTAAAAAATGTTGCACATATCTCTTGGGCTCACTTTTTTTTGCGTGGGCATCCATTGGCCCAACGCCATTTCGGTCCCAGCGTTGCCCGCAACCAACATTAACATTAATGACAAAGCGAAATGAGAATTTATTTTATTTAATTTCCTCAACTTTATTGCAAGCGCCCCTGCCAGATAGGTTGTTGCTTTTTGTTTCATTCGAGGTATATTTAATTTTTTATTGCAATTCAAACGCCTCACGAAACGAAAAAAAAATTGCCAGGCTTTGCAAAGCCCCCGGGTCAGGGTATAGTATGTGGATGGGGGTATGACCCGAAAATGACCCCATTTTTATGGACGCTTGTGGTTGGCCCATGTGATTGCCATAATAATCATTAATTTTATGGCAAAACAATAAGGCAGGTAATAAAAGTTGCGCTAGAGCTTCAATGCCCCCTCTCTGCCACTCCACACCCGCTCGCCATTGTTTCGGCTTAATGACCAAGAAGCTGCAACCCGGAATGACAACGCAGACTTTGGACGATTTGCTTTTGGCAGCGGTAAGCGCCAGCAAAATATTAAAAATAATGAAAGTGAAAAGTTTTTATGGCGCAAAGCTTGGGTGGGTCATACACTAAACAAAATAATTATTTCCCAATTTTGAAATATTTTTTGAAAAGAAGCTCACAGCTATGTAAATATAATTAACCAAAAATTATCAAATTTCTTGCCAAAAAAATTATCAAATTTCTCACCAGTAATAATGTTGATGTGATGTTGTTCATGAATAAGTGGCATTATTCGAAAATATTAATAAAACTTTACCGTCCTGAAAGGCATTTCATGTGCCAATCAAAAATGTTACGATTTATACTAAGAAAATAAATAAATAACCTCTCATATTAACAATATATAGTACATGTGTGTGCACATTGTTCCCATTTCTAGAAACAAATTGCTTTATAAATATGTATGTATTTGTGTTTTAAGTAAGAAAAGAGTTTCGGCGATTGTGTGAGATTTCTTTTTCCTAGTGTAGAGGATGGGTGAGGGGTGAGGAGTTTGACAACCAATGTCAACGACAGCAAACAGAGTAGCAAAGCTGCCGAGTAGCTGGGAAAGGTGGAAGGTACAGCAAGCTTGCTCGTTAAAGCCATTTGTTTGCATTTTTAATGTGCTGGTGGTGGTGTGTACACACTTTTTCAAGTGCCAGCGATCTTGTTTATGTGAGTTTTGTGTGCAGTTTACCAGCACTGAAGTTGTGCAGATAAGCGAGAGTTTTGGGCCAATAAAATGTGTGCGGTAATTAAGGGCGACGTGCTGGGATGGAGTTGAGGGTTCTACTACTATGTAGGGTGCGCTTCACACTTAAAACTCGACTTCATTTACTGAAACGGTCATTGTGGAAGTGGAACTGGAAATGGAGGACGCTGGGGAAATGGAAAGCTCTTGTTTAGTAGCAAGCGCTTAAACAGCTGATAATTACTTGTAGATAGCAGCAGAAATGTGTGAAGCCGGCAGGGCACTGTGTTCTGTCTGCCAGTTTTCCCAATAAAGTTGTATCTATTTTACCAAAGAGCTGTTTATTTCAACCTAAAAAGTTTAAATTGCAATCATAGAAACCATTCGGTCTAATAATTCCGTGCCTCTGCAAATCTGCCGCTCTACAAATTATGAGGATGTACTGCAATCAGTTTTTAAATAAGAAGTAAAGTCATTTTCAAGCAAAACTTTAACCTCATATCTTTTAAGATTTTTCATGAGAGCAAGGTGAACTAGTAAATATACTTTATTAATAAAGAGAATTGTGGGTAAAACAATGTTACAAATACTACAATTTTTTAATAGAAACTATATATATATATATATAAGCTATATATAGCTATATAATTGCATTAACAAATCGTTGTTCTTGGTTGAATATATTTTAAAATGAAAGGAGCTTCGTTTAAAGCCACAAATGGGAATAGGAACTTCAACTTACTCACAAAACATATCACTTTATGGTAGCCAGGCAATTAAATTGAATAAAAGCTGCTAATGAGGGTTCAATTATTTAGCCCAGTAGCTCAATCTAGAACAAAAATGTTTATAGAAATCATAGCATTCTGCTAATAGTTTGTATTGAAAAATGGGCGAAGAAATTGGCAAAAATTGCACTCCTCTTTGTTATAGTTGCTATTGGATTGGGGCAATTTAAACTACATTCCTCGTTTGTTGTTCTTCCCATGCTACTGGCCAATTAAAAAATGTGCAAGTTGTGAGCCATTCTCAATAAAATGCACACAAACCGACCCACAATAACAGACCACACACTGAATAAGCAAATTTCCCCTTTTAGCGCTGGGAAAAGAGGAGCACAAACTCAGCTTGTCTTCGAATAAGATTGATGGCTGTCACAGCAGATTAAAAGCAAATAATACCAAATGTTGCAAAGGCAACCGATGGAGAGGGAGTGCTTTTGACTAGCGTCAGCAGCTGATGCTCGAGAAATTCAAAACTAACCATGGCAATCATAAATGGGGACAAGGACTCAGCATATGGCATGACAGCAAATTGCAGAATTGCAACAAACAACAACAAATATATTGAACCCAAATCAGAATTTCACTTTCTACCAGACTCTGCTATCCCTTCTTCATTTCTTTCATGCTGGTGGCATGAAAATCGAAAACCAATTTGCGAATGAAAATGCTTTTTACCGAGCTCCGAAAAAAAATAAATGTTTAATACAAACTTCGGCCAAATCAAAAAGTTATTACGACCAAGAGACACAAAATCACGCAAGCCCATGAGCCTTTTGCTCTTTTCGCTTATTTTTTTTCTTGCCCCTTCTTCGTTTTTCTTTGTCTTTTGCGTGCTCTTTCTTGGCCAAGATTACACAATGCCAAGCAAATTAATCTGTTTATAACGACATTGGAGGCCGAGCATGAAAATAAGCCTATTTATGCGACGCAGTGACAAAGTTTGAAGCGGCCCGAAAGTAAAGTTTTTTTTTTGGCCTAGACTTCTTGTTACTTATTCCTCCTTTTACTTATTACTCTTACCCTACATTTTTTGTTTTGTTTGTATATTACAGATTTAGTCCCGTCTGCCCGCAACGACTGCCGGACATTGGCAATGAGACGGCCGCTTTGGAGCGCATGCCCAAGGGACGTTTGGAGTATTTGAAGCGACTGCTGCCATATCTGCAAAATCAATCAGAGGATTGTCTTTATCTAAATATTTATGTGCCCATACAAGGTGAGTGTACCTATAAATACATATGTATATATGTATATATATGTTTGTGTGTGTGTGTTTGGATTTAGCAGCAAAGTGCGTTATAATTCTCGCCGCAGTCGCCCACAATCAAGAAAAATGAGGCACACGCATCGTCCTTCCCGGGCGCCATTTTTGAGCCTTGTTTATTTAGCACTTTGCAAGGCATTTGAATAAATTGGCGAGCGTCAAAATGCGTGTGGCTGGGGGACAGCTTGCTTCTATTTTTCTTTCGATCTGTCTGCTAATCCCAAAGGCAAGCGTCGCCGGGCGATTTTGGAAAAGGGTCAGCAGCTTTGGCGCTGTTTTAATTTTTTCGTTTTTTCGACATAGCTCAGAGCATTTTTCGCTTAGGTTGCCGGTTTGATTTCTTTTTTTCTTTTTTTCATCCGCTTTCCTTATGCAAATAGACAAATGTTTCGACATTTTTCACAGCGATTCCCCGCCCATACTTAGATTCGTGGGCAACAGCGGCGCAAAGTGGCCAAATTTATGCAGAAAAAAAGTAGAGACGTCTGTCTGCCTGTCGATCCGCTTGTCTGCCTGTCTTCGCCCCCTTCTGCTTCATGGAACTATTCATGCGCTCTGCTGTTTGTCTGCTGATTATTTTCTTCTCCGTTACACTGCACTGTGGTGTGAAAGGAAAAGAGTTGTGGAGAAAGTTCCATAAAGCTGCACAAGTGAACTAATTTGTGTTAAATTAACAAACATTAAAAATTAAATGTTATTTATTCATTCTGAAATATAATACTTAAATCAATATTGGAACCAAGCTCAATAAGAAATAGATTCTTATGTAAAAGCAGCAATTACTTTTTCAAAACAGTATACCTTTTACATAAGTTTCCAAATGTAATGAAAATATAAATACTGATTACACTAGCCTAGAAATATAATGAAATGGCGTTTTCGAAAATATCTATGTATGATGGTAGCTGCTGGAGTATTTTCCAGAAACAAACACTACTTTGAAGGTTGTCGATTTTAAAAAAACTTTCTAAAAACTCATTACAAAATGCCACGCAATACAGATTAGTTTTTAATCGAATAATAGTAAGACTATCGCCATAAATGGACCAGTAGAACTAGAACCCAGAACTTGTTAAAACCATGCGTGGTATCTATGAGTATAAAGCCACATAAGTAGTTACCATTAGGGCTAGCTCAAAAAGTTTAAATTTCTCTCGCAATCGCAATTGTCGATGTTCTCTTTCTAACAAGTAATTTTAATATAGTAATTATATTATTAGATCAGATATAAGTTTTGAACACCCGTATTTAAGAATAATCATTTTTAAAAACATTAAATAATACCTTTCATCCAAGAAAAGTAATGTTATTTCCGAAACTGAAAAGATTTGAAATGATTTAGCTAACAGAGGGACATTCCTAGACATCTGGCGTATTTTCCAATTATTATTCGCTTCATCCCACTGTATCTCTATTACTTCTTATGCGCCAATCGATTCCGTGCCCAAACGTGCGTGTATTGCTGTCGTACAAAATTAATGTGCAAAATGACCCAAAAAATTTAGATTTACACTTAAGCGTTTTTCGGTGGCATGTGGCGAAAACTTTTGCACCAGGCAGTGGCACTGGCAAAGGCAAAGGCCTAGGCGTTGGCAAAGCCAAAGCAATCAGTCATAAATGAAACCAATTTGGGCAAACAGCAAAGCGGCAGCAGCAAAGCAATTTGATTATAACGGGCAGAGTTAAAGGCAACAGCAAAAAAAAAGAAAATAGGAAAAGCAAAATAAACTTCTTTGGGCCGTCACTTCGTCAGGCGTTCGTTAAATCAGTCGCCTGCAATGATTTTACAGCCAAACCAGAGGAGAAGGACCAGAAACTCAAAGCTCTCAAGTCCAGCGTACTTTGAACAGGGCACTGAGGCATCTATGGCATGCCGCTGTCGTTCGACATGGCAGTAAATTACATTTTAATTAAAACGCAAAGAGGAATGCGGATGTATGTTGATGGCATAGACATGAGCGCAAAGCGCTCTAATGGAACCCATCAGCAACAGAAACAGGAACAGCAATGGGAACAGCGATGATTGCAAAACTAAAGCGACTTGACAACACCTGCCAGCAGCAAAAACAGAAACAACAGCAGCAACAGCAACAACCAATACATATAACTGCATCATGAAGTGCAAAGGCATGTTTTGCTTGCTTGGCAGCAAATTCAATTGTCTATCAACGCGTGAAATGCTACATAAATTTAATATACAATACAATTTAGTGGCCAGCTGGAAGCCTTGCAGTGCCTGACTAACTGTCTGACTGACTGACTAACTGACTGACAAGCAAAACAACAGACAAGACTTCAACCACAGAACTTGCTTTTGTTTGCTTTTGCCTGCGTGTCAATTAAAGGCATCCAGACAGGCCCAGAGACAGGCAGTCGTGACTCCATCAGACATCAGATACGAGTAGCAGGCAATTGCCAGCTGGCAGAAGCTTGGCCAAGATAGCCTCGATTTGCTTGCAGCTACCTGCAACGTTTTACTAATTGCCTGGTTTAAGCTCTCGTGCTCTAAACAGATATCATTGGCACTGACTGATTTGAAATATTTCTGAAAGGCACAATGGAGCAGAGTATACATGTTAAATACTTAAACATCGAATTATAAAAAATGAAATAAATTTAATTTATTAAAAAATACATGATTAAGTTATCATGGGATATATTGAAAATAGATTGAAAATAGTAGGAAATACTGTAGGCTGAATTACATCTTAGATTGCCGCTGCTTCCACGATCGAATATGTATCGGATTTATTTCTCCTGACCGCTGACATCTGCTTCGAACGACTTATGGCTGACAACTTCCTCAAGCGACTCGCGCCTGACGACTTACTATTCGTACTACTATTAGTAGTCAAAAAAAAAAAGTCAAAAAAAAAAAAAAAAAAAAAAAAAAAAAAAAAAAAAACTGAGTACTGCTGTTTGGTCTTCCTCTAATGCCCTGCCTTTTAATCTTACTACTATAATGACTTCACTTTACAGTACCCTCATCCAAACCAATTGCAAAAAAGCGTATTCCTTTGTAAACATTAGTAGGCTCCGGTCTGGGTAAGAAAAAAGAATCCTTAATAATTGCGTTTCTAAACTCAAGCAACTACAATATTCTGTCATCATATTTTTACTCAGCGCATTTATTTGAGAAGAAAACTTAAAAGGTATAGCATTAGCTCACAAAATAATCTTACCAAACAACAAATGTTATTAGCGTTCAGCTCAAATCAAAGAAAGCGTACATTTCCAAGAAATGAGCCTGCAAAAGAAATGAAATGAATAGCACAGCCAGCCAGTCAGGCTGTCAGTCATTCAGTCAGTTGGCATAATATTAAATTCAATTTGCAGAGAACAACGAAGACAAAAAATCAACTGCCAGGCTCAGGTCTCCAAAAGACATGCCCCGACCATGACATTCGTCTCCTTCGTCTGCTTCGCGTCTGGCAATTTCATAATTTCTGCAACATTTCCACCTCGGTATATCTCGACCATAATCTTCTTGTCATTTGACGACCAAAAAGCACCAATTAACCACACTTTTGTGCTTCAACTGAAAAGGTACAAAGGAAATAAAACAGACAATGTCACCGCATGATTTTTAGCTGAACAGAGCCTGCCTACCCAAGTGGAGCATGAAAATGTATAAAGTATTTGTTTTTGCTGCAGAGAAAATATTAAAAAAGATTTACATTTCTCTGCAATTTGTCTTCAATGGCAGACATTGTTTGTGGTTTGCTTGGCAAAGGGATCAAGATGATAAGTCGCTTGAGGCCTTGCTTCTCTTTATTTTTTTCATGTCCTCCTAAAAGTATCTTTTTTTTTGAAAGTGTTAACGATAGGCGTGTGCAAGTCGCTCAAGTGCCCCTGGCCTGCCGCGCTGAGACATTTATATGGAATTATGATAAATTGCCAAATGTCTGACATGGCACAATTGTGATAAGAGTTGAAGGCACCGCCAAATTAATGGTTGCTCTGCAACGCACGAGGCTCAAGGATGGCTAATTGAATTTTGGACATTGGGAAAGCAACTGTGTACTGTCTGGCTTGATAATTGGATATGTCATATACAGATGTAAAAAATTAAAGCCCATAAGGGATAACACATAATGGTACCACATGTCTCTTGACAATGTTTTGTGCTGTTAATGCGTGCATTTAGTTATGTGTTTATAATGACGAAAAATTTCAATTTGTTAAAAGAAATTATCTCCTCTTGCATTTGTGTAAATTCTTTGAAAATATGAAATTAAATTCTATTCAGAAGATAATTCGCAATATAAATGAGCCTCCATATACCTCTCCTCTTGCATTTGTGTATAAATTCTTTGAAAATATCAAATGAAATTCTATTCAGAAGATGAATCGCAATATAAATGAGGATCCATATACCATACAACTTGTATAGAAAGTATATTGCAATTTGGTATTCTCGGAAAATCAATTTGGCTTGGAGTTTTTTTTTTATTTGTAGAAAGTAAAAGTAACATAGATTTAGTTTCTGAATAAAGTTGTTGCCTCAAATTCAAATTTCACGGCCTGCCAGCCTTAGTTAAAATCTCTTCAAGCTGAACCACATTGCTTCGACAATGCGCCCATGGCTACAAAGTAAACTTCTGCCAAATGACCACAAAGCAGATAAAGAAGTTAATAATTGGCAGCAAAAGTTGAACTTTGTATGCTGCACACACGACCTGCATAAAGTTCCTTCTGAAGTTTTTGGTCAATCTGACAACTTCAAGCGAAATAATCAGCTGCCAACTTAATTTTAATCGCTTGCGAAAATCTCTTTCTTTACCAAGTTACTTCCTAACTGACAACCAAAGTAAAAGACTTTGCTTAAGCCTCGAAAGCAAAAATTAGATATTTCAAAAATAAATAAATTGCATTTTAGCGTAATTTGAGTGCTCGAGTCTTGACCAAGCCACCACAAAATAGAAACAGAAAGTGAGGGAGCAGTGTCAGGA